AACCCTTCTTTGTGATGTTATTCCCATTTTTCTGCCTAAGGCCACTGGTGCTCACGTTTCTGAATGTAATAATATTGATAAAACCTCTGAGGTTAGATGCTTTCAAGTAAGAGAAACTCCTATTCAAACTGGTTTAATGCATTTATTACCTCACCAAACAGGAAGTGGGTGTGGGGGTTGGCTGATTCAGTGGCTGGAAAAGGGGCTAGGACACTTGTACTGGTTGGTATCTTAAAAACCATGCGCATTTATCACTTTCATTTTCTGAAAAATGCCATTTGTGCTACACAAAGAAAAAGATCAGATATGCTGAAATGGGCATGTACTAAATTTTAACATTTGGAGACCACTGATGCATTTTGTGCTGCTCAATCGAAAATTTTTATACAGACCTCCTGTCATGTCTGTGCATATAAATGCGATTAATGCATCATTGTTTAGGAAGGTCAAAGCTCTGCCCTGGCCTTTTAAGATTCAAGCCTGTCCATTCTTGTGCAGTTGTGCAAGGCAGTATATCTCTACACACGTTAACCACACTCAAATGTCCAGCAAGATCCAGGTATTAGGTCACATGTTCTAGTCATGGTAGAATGGTCGGTTATGCAATAAGGAGTGAAGAAACAACAACCCCAGAAGCTACTATTTGTGATTCCACTTTGAAACAAACATTTCCTGCTACTCTTTCAAGTTTTGGGTTTAAGTTTAACTGGAGGGTATCCTGAGATTGCCAAGGGTAGGTGTTTTAACTTAAAAAAAAAATTTTTTTTTTTTTTATTCTGAGAGAGAGAGAGAGAGAGAGAGAGAATGAGAACAAGAGCAGAGACAGGGGAGTGAGACAGGGAGAGAGACAGAATTCCAAGCAGGCTCCACACTGTCAGTGCAGAGCTCAATGTGGGGCTCAAACCCATGAACCTTGAGATCATGATCTGAGCTGAAACCAAGAGTTGGATGCTTAACTGACTGAACCACCCAGGTGCCCCTTACAATTTTTTATAATTCACTATTATTTTGCTGTTTGTCGGGTTTTTCTTGACTACTGTGCTGCTGAGGCTGCCAAAAACCTGCAAATGTCATCCATAAGCCCCAATCCCACATTTGTATCAAAATAGTTTCATTATATCATTTGCTGTTTTTATACATAGTTCCAAATCTGGAACTGTAACATACATACGTACTAATAAAACACTATTTTAGTTATTTTATATTGAATCCTATGATAATTTCATTTGACAAAATTATTCTTCTGCTAGAATGTTTTACTATCATTCACCTATATTGTGCAAAATTAGGAAACATCCGGATTACATCATAGAATCAGGGTCTTAAAAGTAATCCAGGTTTCCTGTGAAATAACAGATTTTAAGGATGCTGGTTGCCTGAGATGCTTAAAGTTGGGTTAATTTTACACAGCAAAATTTATTAGGATCTATAAAGAAACTAAGCCAAAGTATATATGGCTTCCATGAGTTAAATTAAAATGTAACTAATTTTCAAAGTTATGCATTCCTTTTATAAACAATTCACCTATTTAAAAACTCAGAATTAGGGGCGCCTGGGTGGCGCAGTCGGTTAAGCGTCCGACTTCAGCCAGGTCACGATCTCGCGGTCCGTGAGTTCGAGCCCCGCGTCGGGCTCTGGGCTGATGGCTCGGAGCCTGGAGCCTGTTTCCGATTCTGTGTCTCCCTCTCTCTCTGCCCCTCCCCCGTTCATGCTCTGTCTCTCTCTGTCCCAAAAATAAATAAACGTTGAAAAA